AGAGCAAGTCAGAGAAAAACCTTCACTAGAAGGAGCTGGCAAGGGGCTAACCTCCCCCAAGGGAAAGTCCAGCCACCACCCATGCACCTATATATTTATTTCATTTAGACATTATTTCCCCTTTCTATAATAAAAGCCATATGATTGATTACTAGTGCAGGAGAGACACATACATGGTACCATAACGACAGTTGCAATGATTGAAATATAAATGCCTACTGCTTTATTCATATCAGCAATGTGCACAAGGCAATCAATGAGCCCTTGAACTCTGCAATATAGTAGAAGAAAGTTCTCTCCCTCATTTCCCGAGTACTTTAGCCAACAGTAGATGCACATTTGCTTACTCCATAGCAATAAAGCACTTCCTTTAGCTGTTGTTATAGCACCGAGCAATTATTGACAATTTCACATTTGTTTTGCACCAATAAATTGATTTGTTTAAAAACAGATTTCAAATAAAAGAGTACTAGAACATCAAAGCTTCTTTCTCAGGGACAGGGTGCTTCTGGCTGCAGGTACCCCGTTTCCCATACTGCCTAGCCCATTTGCATAGTTCCTTTTTCATAATACACAGTTTACCTCATACCTTTAATCCTCAAATTCCAAGCACTAAATATCAAAACACAGTCGTATACCAGAAGGTCTTAAGGCAGCTTTCTTTACCACATCTAGCTCTCCATCGCTTAGTGTTTGAACCCTGTCTTTTCCCCTCATTCTCATTAGCCCAACCATTACCCCCAGCTGCTAACAATTCCCACCATTATTGGCTATTCCAATTAAGCTCATGATCTTCTCTGTTATGCAATTACCTGACCTGGAGGCTAGATCACACGTGCCTTTCTCTGTCTGGTGTTTGTGTGTGCCCCTCACCACAGTATGGATACCATTTAGATTAGTGACGCCCAAACTTCTCACATCTGTTTCCCACCTTGCTGGAAACACTGCTCTGCAGCGGTGAGTGCATATAGGGTAAGGGAGCCCTGCAGTAGCGGGCAGGTCCAGGGCTGGAAACAGAGCCGCGGAAGGGGATTGAGCTTGCGAATGAAGCTGAGGCCAAGGCGGAGCTGGCAGCCTAGATTGCAGCAGAACTGGGGGCAGAACCGGCCTGAGTGGCGCTCCCTTCCCTTCTCAGGGGCTGGCCTAGGCCCAGCCCCCCACAGGGACTTCTGTTTTACATTGGAATACCTTGAAGCTGTCTAGACTGACAGTAGTTATCTAATAATTGCTCAGTCACCTACATAAAAAACTAGATCTCAGTTAAAGTTGCCAGGAGATAGGTAAGCAAATCCAGGTTAACATCAAGCTCTGGTTCAAGATGTAAAACAACAGTATTTTCCAATTTTTTTCCCATTTGAAACCCCCCCAAAACATTTCAAGATACAGCTGAATTCTGTTCAATCACCTTTCCGTTTCTTTTGCAGATCCCTTAGACATAGTTCTAGAAACAGGAAAACCACTGGAACAGAGGCTCTCTGGTCCATATTTTTCCCCAGTTCCTCCCACTTTTTAGTTTTTGTTGTTGCTGCAGTCTCCCGTTTTTAGTTATGTTGATTATCTACCACGTGGCTTAGAAGAAACAACTGAGTGTGAAGGTTTATAGTCTACAACATAGTTTCATATCTGGGAATTGTAGAGACTGACCTGTAGACTATCTTCATATTCCAAAGTGCACATTTACTTAATACAGTATTAAAATCCATTAATTTTTCATTCACATTACCTATTTTCTGCATTCATAAAATACCACTCAAAGTGAACAGTCCAACTTTATTGAAAAGGCATCAGCTTTAAAAAGAGGTAGCTTGCTGGCACTAACAAGTATTTCATGCTGACCTAAGATTTTAGACCGTCCCTTCTTTTCCCTCCCTATTCAGACATGAAATACTGCCCAGGAAAATTAGATTGGCATAGCATGATCCCCAGGAGACTTCAATAGTCTTTTGTTCTTCTCCTTTCTGGAAACTCTTTGCAATACGTTTTATTTTGCAAGATGAGTTTGGCAACTCCTGTAAATTTAACAAACAACAAGAGGTCTGGTAGCACTTTATAGACTAACAAAACATGTAAATGGTATCGTGAGCTTTTATGGGCACAGCCCATTTCTTCAGATGGCTAAAGAATTGGGCTATGCCCACGAAAGCTCATACCAACATGTTTTGTTAGTCTATAAAGTGCTACCAGTCCTTTTGTTGTATTTTAAGTTTATCCTGTACAGACTAACTCAGCTACCCCCTGAAGATTCTGAACTATTGTAAATGTTATGGATATGAAGGAAAAGCTTTAATCAAAGATAAAGCTTCTGCAATATGATCTGAAGATGATCAGAGGCTGGATTATCTCCATTGCTCCTGAATGCTCTTTCCACAGGCAGACAGATTTCCATGACCAAGCATTCCTTATCAACTCTTCTGTGTCTTGTTCTGAGTTCTGATGGATTTTGTTCCAGAAGAACACTGTAAATTTGATTCTCGTAAGTGCTGGTCTCCCCATAGATGTGATACCTGAGATTGCTAATTATACATAAATGAAGCATATTTAACAAACATGGGACCTTTATATTTTCTTACGACATTATGGATTAAGAATTCAGGCTTCGCTGAGTTTTTGAAGCAAAATCAACTAATTGACCAAATTACTGTAGGACTTCAGTCCAATTTAAAACTGGTAATGGAGTATTTATACAATATTGGAAAACTTGATTCAATTTGGTTGATATAATTTATAAATTCCCCCTATTGTTTCAATTTAACATTCTTCACTTTGTACCACTATATTGTACATTGCTGCTGTGTGAAGTTAAACCACTGATCCATAATCACATCACCTTGAGAAGTGGCTGCATTTCAGTGGAGAGCAAAGACATTTTTCTATATCAACTGTGCACAACACCAAGTTCCTCTAAGATGAAAGGCACCAAACCAAGACCCAGAGTGACAATTCTCAACCACATCAATTCAAATTACTTTTCTGTGAAAATGTACATACCAAATCCCATTTAGGAATAGGCTGGGTTCTCAAACATAACTTCAGGGAATGGAATTGCATGACAGGGATGTTAAATTGTGTTTAAGCAGCTAATCAAGTGGTGGAAGGAATTTCCATTACTACTCAATTAGTCAATAAGGGTGGAAACTGCAGAGCTTCTGGCCCCAAAAGCTAAACCCATTATGGCTCTGCCTTTTAAATGGCGGCTCTCATATTTAAAAGGCAGAGGTGCGGGGGGAGACCAGACACAAGCTAGGAATTAGCTGATTCCCGGCTTGCACCCCATCCCCCTTCTGTGCCTCTGCACTCCTGTGGAGACGGGTGCTGGGGGAAAACAGCTTTTAAGCCGGCTCCCCCCAGCACTGGCTCCTGCTCCCCTCTACCTCCCGCCTCTCTCTGTTAAGAGTAGCAAGGGCGAGGGGGGAGCAACTAGTCAAGTAGTGACTCAAATACCCAATAAGCAGATGCTTATCAGGTAGTCAACTATTCGACTAGACACTTACATCCCTATTGCCTCTAATTTCTAAAATAACCTCAACTATTATGTTACATGATAGTATTCTATTAGAACATTTAGATTTGGATTAAAAAAAAATAACCTGCATAATAGGTTGATCCTGTCTGGTCCGGCACACTCTGGTCCAGCAATGCATGTTCTGACTTGATTTTAGTTAGCCAGATGTCCACTTATCATGGGCATGCCTATGTTTTCCACAATCCCATAAAGTTTGTTTACAGCCGCAAGTCCTTGTTGTAATTTAGAAGACATTTAGGGATACATTAGAGCTAAGAGCCCAGTAAGCAGTGGAAGTGTTGGTAATGCGGCTTGACAATATTGACCACCTGTGGTTCAGACAAAAGAGGTTCTGCCTGTAGTCATACCTGTTTCATGGGCACAGACTATTTTTAAAATACTAAAAAAATTAGCACTCTCAAAATATAAGAAATTAAAGACCAGATTCTGTAAAGCATTGAACCTTAAAGCTTTACATTTAAGCTCTTAAAATAAAACTTTATGCCTGGGTTCTATGGAAAGATAATGGACTAGGATTCCTTATCTTCCCCCAATTTTGGCTATGCATCATAGTCTTATTTGCAAGAATATCTGTCTTCCAGATTTTATACAAAGCACCACTGTGATCAACAGGACTCTGCCATGCCAAAAGGATATGGCCTAACACATCCCAGTTACAGGCACTTTTCCTTAAACTACATTTTAGTATCAGGTGCTTTTGAAGTAAAAATGTGAATGAAAAATACATGCTACAAGCATAAACTTGCTACTGTATCATCCACTCTACATACTTAGTTGAAAGAATATTGTCAAGAGGTTTATTTACCACTAACTCTTGCAAGACATAAATCTGAACAGTATTTTCCTTGAGATATGGCCCATGTTGGCAACTCTTTTACTGCATAGGTACTAACAGATGCAGAGCAGAGGGGGGCATTTTCTTAGTAGCCCTATCAGGGAAACATGATTTTTTTTTTCTTTTCTCATCTATAATTATACTTTAAAAAAGAAAAAAAGACAGGAATGCTCTATTTACAAATATTAGAGTCCAACGTATAGTATTAACATTCTCTACTGTGTTTTAATATTGCTTTGTATCAGATTATGTTTTCACACAGTATGAATGTCTTACAATCAACTTTCATATCTTAGTAGGAAAAGATCACTGTTCCTATAGTTCAGTAGCTTTTTGTGGGACCACGAGATGAAGAGTTTGTTTGGTTTCTTTTGGATGGAGTGGAATGCAAATTCCATATAAGAACTTTATACAGTCCGCTTTACAGTCACTGAAAAGAAGACTCTTGACCACCTATTTTAATTATAAATTGTATTAACACTGTTGAAGATCAAGGAATTATAGCCATTTTCTTATCATACAAATTGCATAAAATGAGAACGCATGCTGTAAATTCTGTAAATTCATACACTGTCTATTTTGTGTGCAGGAGGAGATGGGAACAAGAAAAGATAACTATTTCAGATTTGTTTTTCATTACAGGAACTTCTGGGTCCCACATGGAAAAACTTCACTGCAGTCCTATTTACGCATGCAGACAAAATAGAAGAGGCAGGATTGAATGGAGATGAATATTTTCGTGTTGCCTCAGATACACTGTTAAACTTTTTGAGCTCAATACAACAGAGATACATTTTTATAGACAACCAGGTAAACACACTTCAACAGGAAAGAAAAACAATTTTAAGAAAAATAATGGAATTTATAAGACAAAATAGTTACCAGGTACTTCTAGTTAAATAAATTGATGGTGACAAACATATACATTACCTCTCAGGTACTCATTTATTGACTATCTTTTCTCCTTTGGGGTAAAATGACATGCAGAGAAGAGAACATGTTGAAACTGAGATTTGCAATTCACTTATTTGACAGTTGAAACAATTTAGGCTACCAAATGAGCTACCATAATCATATATAGTTGCCTATCACCCTAGTATTTAAGAGCCATCATCACACCAGATCACAGATTCAGGCTGAATTCTGGACAGTGCCCCTATTACTGTATTATTCACAAACATAATACCAGAGGTCATCATATTTTATATTGTAGTTCATAAAGAGTAGGGCACTTGAGTAGAAAATAAGAATTTGTGTGTTCTAAACCATTGTAGTGTTACTATGCATTATTGAATAGCTATCATATTCTATTGGAAGTAGCTGCACTTCAGTGGTGAGTGAAGTGATTCTTCTTTTTTTGCGTTTATGTTTATAGACAGAAGTATACAGTTTGCAAAGACTTGTCAAACCTTACAAGGTTAACAGCCTCATATTCTAATCTGTTTTTCCCAATTTGCTTCACAATGAATCCTAATACAAACAGTTTCAGCTTTTTAAAGAACTTGAGTCCTCACTGGCTGAGTAGATTATAAAGCAGTTTAAATCACTCACATGTGCTGAAAATTATTTAGTGTATTTGGAAGAACTAATGATTGCTGCTAGTTCCCAAATGCATGCAAATTGTTATGGTAGGATATATATACAAAGCACATCTAAAAAATATGTCTTCATCTTTCCATTGTGCTTCTTAATTGTATATCATTGTAATTTTGTTGTTTTCTCAGTTTGCTGTATGACAAATCTGGGAAATTCAGAGATTTATTTTATTGTTTGTTGGTTAGACAATAAATGGACAGTAAATGAAACACTAAAACACTTGGAAGTATATTAAACAATGGATATTTTAAAAGGTTAGTTGTGGATCAATATAGTGCTGCTTTGTCAGCTCATGAAAATATAGGAATTATAACATCTATAATTTGATATTGACTGTACATCAATTGTGGCTACTTTTAACACGTGATGCAGTAAGAGAGTTTAAAAAAGTATAAAAATTAAATTAGATTCTATTTCAGTGAAGTACAGGGGGTCCCCATTATAAATCCAGGTTATGTTCCTAAATAATGCTACTTATAGCAAAACAGGAATTAATACCCATAAGGAATAATGTAATTATGCTTGAGATACAATCCCAGCACTTACAGTTCACACATGGGTATATACATATCATGTACGCATAACCCATACCTATAACCCCGTCCCTCCCCTTGAGCCAGGCACCCTCACCCTCTCCTCCACCAACCCCTCCTCCCCCAGCTCTAACCTAATGCCTGGGTCCTGGAGCCACAGCTTCTATTGCCGTGTGTTGCTCCCTCCAGGCGCTGGGGCATGTGCGCTAAGCAGCCTGCCATGAGCATGTGCTGGGGCGCTGTGCGCAGAGCAGCCTGGCCATGAGCATGTGCTGGGGCGCTGTGCGCAGAGCAGCCTGGCCATGAGCAGCATCAGGAGGAGCCGCATTTTAATTACACTCGCTCGGTCTACATTGCTGGCTTTTGGGTCCCTTGAAAAATGATTTAAGTGCGGATCTGTGTGACATATAATGATTTTAATTTTCTTAATTAATTGACGACGTATATGTGAAACAACAAATATCCAGGAAACTTATAAGGGGGCTCCCCTATATCTGGTTCTGTATATAATGTACCTCTGAAGAAATTTCATGTAGAAGTTAAAATGAATCCATTTTTGTTTCATGCATCAGTGTAATATTTAAACTGAACTAAACTAATTTTGTTGGCCAGTCTGTTCTTTAGTGATGATTTATGGATATGACCTATCTACACCCATTTCACTTAAACTGGCAGTCTCTGCTTAGGAGAAGCCCAAAACTATAGGGACAGAGGATTAGACATATCACAAGGGCAACAGAATTCCACTTACTCAACTAACTCTACACTACCTGAACACCTATCATTAGGGACCTTTCTCCAGAGGTCCCTGCTTCCTGAGTAACTCTGTGGGTCACAGTGATTCTTAACCTATTTATCATTGTGGGTTGAATCCCACACTACCTGTATGGCTCTGAGGATACAAAATGGGCTGCAGCGCAGTGTTGAATGGGTTGCAAGCAGACCATGGGCCATAGGTTGAGAACCACTGGTTTAGAGTGTAGAGCAGTGTTTCTCAACCAGTGGTACGTACTCGGGAGGAGTATGTCAACAACTGAAATTTGGAGAAAACTGAACGTGTGTGTGAAGTTTTACAGTGCTTTATGTTTTTTGTACTTTTTACACCCAGAAATTTCACCACGTGCCTGGCTATGATTAAGTTGTTTAACCAAATGTGTTGCAGTGATAGAAACATTTTTATTTGTCTGAAAATTGTAGGTACTGGGGTACTTTTATCTATCTATATAAATAAAAAAGGGGTACTTTTTTTTAAAAAACTGAGAAACTCTGGTGTAGAGCATTTCTCCATCTTTTTCTAAGATAAGCTCAAATATCCTAAGGATTTATACCCCTTATTTCATTGAGAGAGGTGAAGCTTTTAGCCTTAATCAACCTAGTTTAATAACTATTCACACTATTTAGTCTAATCTGAAAAAAGAAAACAAGATGAATGAGTGAATTTTAAAAATGTCAGTCATACCTTTGGAGAAGAGAAGATAAAACAAAAATGAATCAATCATGCCTTGGGGGGAATATATTCATGTCTTTATTGTGCTTGCACCACTTTTCATTTAAGCCCCTGAAAAACTTCTCAGTAATTGGTTTTATTTATTTGATTCCACTGCTGGCCATGGTCTGAGCCCTGCAGACACCCTTTCCCTTCACTTCAAATGGAACTCCTTTGTAGGTAGCAATGCACTGGTCATTAGTATGAAGGTCAGGTTGGATCTGCTCCCAGATCTTCTTCTTAGGATTAAGTTCCTTGTCAGGTTCTCCTGTTTCAATAAATAATAGCAGACATGAAACAAAAGAAAGGATATGGGACTGTATGTACATGTGAGATCGAGAGTATAGTAACATTTTCCTTTGAGAATTTATTTGAGGTCATATTAGCTGCCAAAAATTGTCACTTCAACAAGCCTCAGCATTAAAACTATCAAAATCTTACATTTGAATTGTTTTTTGGGAGGCTGGACATTTTCTGATCCTTACTTCATAGTACTATAGGTCCTTAGAGAAGAAAGATTTATATACCTAACTGTAGTACATAATCACAAAGAGGTAACAGTATGGTGTCTCAACATTTGGATTATGAAGAAAAATGAAGAAAAAATGATTTTGAGATATCAGAAATGCAGGAAGGGAATACTGAATATAGGAACATTGTCCAGGCAGGTGTAGGAGATCTACAACACGGACAGTGAAGTTTTATTTGTTAAAAGTGAAAGATACTCAGATAATCTAGAACTGTGTAGGGTGAGAGAAAGATGCTCCAGTAATTAGGGTGCTAGTTGGGAATTTGAGAGACCTATGTTCAATTCACTTCTCTGCTACGGACTTCCCATGTGATCTTGAACAAGTCACATCTTTACGCCTCACCTTCCCATCTGTAAAATGGGTGTAAGAGTCCCCTCACAGAGGTGTTGTGAGGATAAATAATGAAAGATTATGAGACAAAGGGGATTATGGAAGTACTGAGCTAGTTTTTTTCAGCTACTTTTGTGGAAATGCTACAAACAGGTAAAAGATTAAAATGGTGGAATAATAAAAAAATATATTCCTGTTTCAAAATATTTATTCTCTGCATTTCTTGCCTGACCGTTTAAAAATGACAAGGAAGTCAAAAAAATTATCTGAATACATTCTTCTGCTGCCAGTTTAAAGATGATTTATATTGAATGAATTGCTGCATGCCAACATCATCTTTCATGATCTAAATAAAGCATGACAATCAATTCATTGTATCATTTATTTTCCTTTGCAAAGACCAAATGGATTTCAAATTTGAATTCTGTAACACAATGCAGATCTCCTAAAGTAAAACAAGACTCCATTATTTAGCCACAATGCCTTAGGGTGGTTTTTAACCCTTTTTATGTGATCCATATTAGTAGACTGAAGAGCACAAGGGAAATTATAAACACTTCCACTGCGTTAGGGCCCAGTTTAATAATAAAGAGCCTCCAGGGGAATACACACTATTTCACTGTCAATATTTTAACTTGCTAGGTGTCTCAATTCAGCCCAATTATTACATACAGAATTAAAATGTTATGTTTCAAAATTCACAGCACATATATACTTTATGGGGAGCAAATTATATCCCCAAAAGGTAGCACAATAGCTAGTGTGGTAGGAACTAACATGACTTAATAACAAGCTGCACTTTCCTTAAGAGGAAACTGCTGTTTTCTATGGTAGCATATTTCAGTGATAAGCATTCTCATCTGATCGCCTCTATTCAGTCTTTAACAGCCCAGGAGGAAGCCTGTGTGTATGGAAATCAAGCTCTTGATAAAGACTTCACGGATCTCAGGAAGATGTTTTAATGCAATGAGGTTCTCTTCTCTGGCTGGTTGACCAACCGGTCTACAGGCAGTCCCCGGGTTACATACAAGATAGGGACTATAGGTTTGTTCTTAAGTTGAATTTGTATGTAACTCGGAACTGGCTCCACATTCAGCCGCTGCTGCTGAAACTGACCAGGGGCTGACTACAGGAAGCCCGAGGCAGAGTTGCTCTGCCCCCAGCTTCCTGGAATCAGCCACTGATCAGTTTCAACAGCGTCTGAATCTGGAGCCTGGGACAGAACAGCTGGGGTGCTGCCGGGTAGGTCCCCCCAGGACCAACCCGGCAGCACCCCAGCTGCTCTACCCCAGGCATCCACAACAAAAGCCTGGTCTGCTGGGGGGGGGGG